GGTTTTCCAGGGGGGAGAGTTTTTAAGATGAAAAAGAAACAGAAAGGGGGGTTGACCCAGGTCCCGGGGGGGGGGGGGCGTACTCATTTGTTGCTTGCCGTAGTCATTTGACCATTGACCACGCGTCCCTTTCGAGACGGAGGGGAGGGGATTTACGCAAGGGGAGTGGCGGCGCTCTTGGCATTTCGAAAATAAGCCCCGCCGGCCGCTGCTGATGCCACGGCGAGAACAAGGCTGAAGGAGAAGGCGAAAGTGGCCGACCGAAGCCAAGAACAAGGGGGTTTCGGCGAGAGCATTGAGGTTGGGGAGGGGGGGCGGGACAGGACCAAAGCGGCGGGTGTTCACGTTTTTGTTTGTAGGCGGGGGGAAGTAGCCGAAGAAAAGAGGAGACGGTTGACGAGCTGCTGGTGTTCTTCCGCTATTCCACGCACATGGGTTTCAGCCGTCGCGTCGGAAACCACGCACTGCTGTGGCTGTGTCTTTGTCTTTGTCTTTTATTTTCTGCCTTTGTTTTTCGCGTTGGGAGTGGTGGGGTGGTGGAGATGAAATGAGAAGAAGAAACATGAGCTAAGGGTTACGCAAGCAAGGTGCAGGGATGGAAGCCTGGATGCCGAGTTCTTTGTTGTGTGGTAAAAAGGACGGCCGGTCCGGCGTGTTTTTGACTTGGTGCGGAGGGCGGTTGGTGGCGTCTGGAATTCGTCACCACATGAAATCGAAGTACGAAGGTTTCCGGAGACGGAAATAGTTTCGAGTCTAGTCTAGACGAAGGCAGCGCGTGTGCATCGCCAGCGATATTTATTCACGTTGAGTTTGATTTTTTCCCGTTTTTTCCTGTTCGGTGGGAGAGGAAGGATCTTCCACGCTACTTGCTTCTCTGTTCACCAGCTTCCGTGTTTCCCTCTCTGCACACAACTAGAACAATTTTTGTTGCTTCTTGCCTTCTAAGAGGGCACCACCGCGTATTGTGCGGTATAATATGCATATCATACGCTTTGAATGTTATTTGTGTACAAAAGGTCCGAAGTGGGGGTCGGAGTGTTGGTCGCGGCTGCTGTTGGCCATATGGCTGTTGCTGTTGATGTTGATGTTGATGTTGTTGGTGTTGGTGTTGGTGATGTTGTTGTTATCGCTGTTGTTCTTTTGGTGGTGTTGTCTTTCTGTTGATGATGATTCAGTTGAATTTTGTTGTGATGCGAGAGTGCCCTAACACTCCCTGCTACATTTTATGGCGGGAGAGACTCATGGGTAGTGGCATTGGACTTAGACGGTGGAGCAACCACGACCGCTGATCCGAGGCAGCGAGTGACGTGTTCACAGGGTGCATTATTTGCTCCGTTCTTGAGCTTGTTCAGCTCTTTGATGCGCGGATTAGCCACCCAACACGTGTCATATGTTAACACAAGGCAGTGCCGTGTGGAGTCATCACGGCCCTTCTGCTGGGGAGACGGGGAGAGGGGGGGGGGGGGGGGGGGGTTGGTGACCGACCCCAACTGGCCTGGCGTGTACTGTGTGTTATTCCCGGGGACGAAGATGTTTGGTCTATAGGCGAGTTGACACTTTTATGCAACGCTGCAGCACAGCGGCTTTTTCCCCGTTGGCAGACAGGACAGGAGGCTGTTCGCCATCACAAATTCATCTCTGTATATATTCGCTGGTTTTCTGATCCGTATGAACAACATTTTCTAGAAACTCACAGCATTGAGCGCATCGCAAGAGGTCTGTGCTGTTTCATTTTACCTGAAGAGTTCAACCGGAGGAAAAAACGACCGCCGCGGTGTACGTGTGTATGGTGTTGGATATATTACGCCACGTGTTCGTTTCTGGGGTGACGAGGTCACCCTTGGTGAGACTATCTGACTTGCTGGGTTGAGGAATGTTTGTGTGACCTGGTATATCATTTGGTGAAGCTTTACTTATTGTTTTCGGTTTCACTGGTGGGGTACACAGCGTTCGCGCGCAATGACTTTGGTGCTGGGTGGTTCATACAGTCGATTTTGCTCGCAAACAACCATGACGCTGTAGCACCAACGTTGAGTTTAGACGATCAACAATGTAGCAGCATAGTGCAACGAGTAACCTTGTAGCAGAGCCAGAGGCGGGGTAAGTCACTGTCAGCAATAACATAGAGGAGGCGAGATGAGGCAAACGACAGTAGGCATTAGTACCAAATTTTCAAGGTTGCAGGGTCGCCGATGTTGTTTTGGTTCGCACCGGTGGCATGCGCGACGTTGCGCCTTACCCCCCGCCCCCCCACTTGCTTGTCATTGTCGTCGACGTCGTCGTCGTTGTTGCTGCTGCTGCTTCCGATTTTTTTTTTAGTTGGGAGTGGTGTCTCAGCCAGAAAGACTCTCTCAATGCGTCTTTGTGACCATAGACGGGGTGCATCTGACGTGCGGCTGTAGGATCCAGTTTTTTAGGTCGGTGCAGAAGCCTTCCTTCCAGTCCGATCAAAATTCAATCTGTCCCGGAATGACAAAATAGCCTGCAGTGTTTAGGGCAGTCACGGCTTTCCGGTTTCAAGTATGCATGAGGAATAGACAAGTCGTGTTCACTTGAGTTGTGGGTGCAGCTTGATGAACAGCATGTGCATGGAATAATTGTGTTGACTTATTGAAGTCCCGGCTTGGGCCTTGGTTGAGCGTTCTGTGTCTTATTCGTGAAATGTGCTTTAACTGGTGCGCGACACGGACCGAACTAGCAACATCATGGAGAGCTGGGCTGGTGGAACTGACTGGTGGTATACACGCGGGATACACGTGCTTGATCATTGGGGAGGGCGGGGGGGGGTGCAGATGAAAGCCAGTTCATCTTTTGTTTCCGCGAGGACGCAGGTTGTTTTTTGCGAAGAACGGGGTGGGAGAAAGGGAGGGACGTGTTTTTTTTGTATTGTACTTTTTTAGGACAAGGTGCGCTGAGTCTGGTTGTTTGTGCGCGCTTGGTTTGGTTCGACACTCATTCACTCTTCATCACTTGTTCTCTGTGCGTATTTTGTAGGCGGCGTTGCTGTTGTTGTTGTCGAGGCCGCTGCCGCTGCCGCCGTGGGTGCGTTCGAGGAAAACGAAGTAAGTTTGTTTGCCGTGGATGGAAATCCGACGGACACGTAACGAGTATCGAGTCACTGAGAGTTTCTACCCCACCTGCGACACGGGTGCCAGGGGTAAATGCTAGTTACAAGATTAACGAGGCGCCCAAAAGAAGCGTATATATTGCATTGGCGAGCCAATCGCGTAGCAATGGAAGCCTCATCATGTGTAGCACAACAGGCTGCGTGTTTGCCGACGATTTTTCGGACCAAACAAACTGGACCAGCCTACTACGTAAATGAGTGGGCGATGCCTGTCTCCAGCGTTTAGCTTCCTCTGCCATACGTGCGACGACGGGGGATCGATGGATCTATCTCTTTCTCCCTCGAACTCACATCGTAGACACATACATACGTGACGGACGTATTCATACAACCAATACAAACCAACAAGACAACAGCAACAGCAACCACCAAACATCAACAACAACCATTGATTGCCACGAAAAACTTAGCATACTTCGTAGTACGAAATAAGCAACAGGGGTTACTGCCGGCCGGTGCCAATCGTCAACCCCCCACTCATGATGTTTCATAATAGATACAAGGCTACAGTAGTTCTTCAGTATACGGAGTATTGTTCTCTCTGGGAGAAAACATTCAAGACGTGCGACGGGGATGATGGAGGATGATGATACGTAGTTGCAGCCATAGGCCCAAGTTGATTGTGGTGCTGCCAATCAGAAGGCATCGTTGTGAACCGTTCTCTATGTACGGCGTTGAAATCTATCGAAACGCGTGCGTGTGTGCTCGCCTCCTTGATTTCAAAGCCCGAATCGAGCAATATATGGAAGGGGCGGGGACCCATACCCAATCACGCTAAGAACCCACAAACTAGAGAGGCAGGGCGAGATAAATAGTTTCGTCCGTTACCCGTTGCCCTGCCCTTCTGGATCGCACGCCTCCGAGATACGTCACGTTTCGTGTACCTTTGCACGGGAGCAGAGCTCATACAAAAATAATTCATTTCTATCTTAGAAAAAAGTCGAGGGTACAGACATCACCCGAATCCGTGGGTATTCTTCATTCAGCACAAGGTGTCTTCCCGAGCAGATTTTTTTATTTATCTCATCTTCCTGCCAAACAATGTGATTCTTCGTTGATTCGATCAAGCGGAATGAAACGTACAACACCTCACGAACAAGGTAGAACGAACGAGTTAGCGAGGAGGTACATTCTGAAGGAAAATTTGCACGCACCGAACCGCCAAACTATAGGCGGATCCCCGCTTTTTACTTTGCCAACGCCCCCCTCATCCCCGAGCGGAATACGTTCCATGGAACCAGCCGCCGCATGATATCGCTACGGTATATCCCACTTGACCCACCCAAAAGTCTTTCTTCTCTCCTTCCACACAGGGACCCCTCCCCGCCCGAGCTTTCGGCCGTCCAACCTTCGGTCTATATCCTCTGATTGTCCCTTCTTCACGTCGCAACCTAACTGTCGCATATTCACAGACCTGGTTACGACTACATCTATCTATCTATCTGCTGTCGCTTCCTGGCCGACTTACTGATTCTAGTGTATCTTTCCCCTCCCCTCCACGTAAAACAACAAGAAGAAGGTAAACGCAGGAGAAAATAAACATATATACATACCGTAGCATCGTACCTCCTTCTACACCTGTCGTGTTATGTCTCATTTCTCATGATCTCCGACCCTTTGCCGGCTAACATTGCTTGCGCAGCTAAAACAACCAATTAATCAATGAGACATTTGCGACCGCTCTGCAAAGTCACAGCAGCAGCAGCATCAATAACAACAATATCATCAACATCAACATCAACAACAACAACACCATCACCACCACCACCACCACCACCAACAGCAGCAGCACCAAAACACGATGCCTTGTTCATCCACTCGTTGCCTCTGCGACTTCATCCCATTCTTCTTCGCACTGTTCGTGAACAACCGTTCCTTACCCGCCACCCTTGGCCCAACGGGTGAGACCCACCGCACCCACAACCGCCACAACACTACAGGCGACCCCAACCCCGACAGCCTCGCCGGTGCTAAGGCCGCCCTTGCTGCTAGAGGACGGAGCGTCGTCCTCCGTGTTGGCCGCGTCGCCCGGGTCAACGCTCCTGTCTTGAGCGCCGCCGGTCGAGTCGTCAGCAGGAGCCGGGGTGGGGGAGCCGTCCCCTCCGTCGCCATTGCCACCTCCCTCCTCTCCGTCGCCATCTGTGACTCCGACACCGTCTCCTTCTTCTCCGTCCGGTAGAGAACCCCCCGAACCACCAGTGCTTGCGGGGGAAGGCGTGGAAGGCGTGGAAGGCATATCCACGCATTCCACCATGACCTTTTGGGAGGGGACGGACATAGAGAGAGGGGCGGGCTCTGAGAATGGATAATGAAAGGTTTGAGACGTGCAACTTTTGCACTTTTTTTGCGACTACTATGGAAGAGATTAGATCACAGCATCTGGAAAAGTGACGATGTTAGTGAAGAAATGAGAACTACTTCGTATTGTTGTTGTTGTTGTGGTGGTGGTGGTGATGATGGTGATGGTGGTGGTGGTGGCGGTATCTTGGCATATTGTCCGAACGACAATTAATAGCACACCTCTTGGTTTCACACTAAACTACCCAAGCGCGGCAGCAACAGCAAGGTGAACGACGACCATGACGACATCTTATCGTCGACTATGTACATCACGATCACCATCATTCATCATCATCATCAACAACAACAACAACAACAACAACAACGATAACCACAACAGTGTCCTTCCCACCTCCACGGCGTGTTCGGGTGTAGCCTCGGTGGTGCCTTCCACCATCCACCACATGGCCGTGTCAATGTCGTCCGGGTTGGTGGCGCAGTCTTGCACAGTCAATGAAGAGTTGCCCGTTGCTTCTGCCAATATCCAGTAACCGCCTTGGTTTTTGATAGGCATTGGCGGAGTGAGGGGGCGGTAGTGAGGGGTTAGGAGCCCTTGAAGGACTGATTCCCTACATCATTATTTGATTAACACATGAAAAAGCAACTATCTATGTAGAAAAAGAATGGCACACCGTAGTACTACCATGCACCGTCAGAGTTCCAACTTTTACCAGTCAATCAAGTGTGGTAATAGCTCATCACGCCAAAACTCACATTCAGAGGTGGCATTCAGGGCGGTCGTGGTCGTCGACGTCGTGTTTGTCGCCGCTCCTTCGTAGGGCACGTGGCTCATGATAGCGCTGCTGTCGTTCTTGAGGAAGAGCGTCTCGTTCATACCGGCCTGAAACAACAGAAAAGAAGGGTATGCGTCTTCATTTTTGAAACGAAGGGATGTTGAAGAAGTTCTTCGTCGCATTGCCATGGTCTTGGGAAAACGTGTGGTGGACAACTAGGAGAAGCGCCATAAACATGTACCACATACACACGGATTATGTTTCGACGAGGGACGACCTTTTCTCCCAAGAGTGCGTCAGTGTAAGCGTTGCTTTTTCTTGGTGTAAACTTGTCTTGCAGCACAGATTTGGGGTATCACTGCAACCGAAACGTCTGTAATTAACTCCCATGAGGCCATCTTAGGTTTCGTTTTTTCCGGACTGGAATATTTACTTCTTCGCCTTGGTGATGAGTTTGTTGCATGCTTCATTTTTACCTGTCAATAAATAAATGTCTTATGCAACTACGCACCATCATGTGGTAGATGCCGTCGAACTGCTGCAGTTCGTCGACAATAACAGAGATGGTCTTGCAGTCCATCGTTTCCATGGCGGAGGGGGAGGGAGTAGACCCGCCGCCAACAACACGATCGGGGCCATCGGTGATGCCAGTGTCATTGCCACCGCCGCTTCCGCTTCCGCTCCCATCACCAGTATCCACAGGGGCAGCGACAGGTGGGCGCGACGTTCCTACTCTCGTTCACCGTCCGTCGGATACCATCGATAGGTAGGAAGGGTAAAAACGGTGGGAACAAAATGAAGAGTCATGGAGCTGCTGGAAAATTACCGCTTCCGAGTTGTGGGGCCCAAAAAGGTTCTCAATTGAACTTGCTTTTGTTTCGTTGTTGGCGCAGATTCGCAATCTTCTGACTATTGGGCGTCAGACCTTCTCGCGATAAAAATCAAGACAAGCACCACAGAACGAAGGGGGAGAATCAAATCCTGCGTGGCGATCCTCCTGTGACCCCGGCTGGTGCGTCCAGAATACTACCGAAAAGGCGCAAGGACCGACGTCCGGAAAATGTTGGAAGAACAAAATTATTTGTAAAAATGACAACAGACCCTCTTCAAGAATGAGGAATCGAATCAGATATGTTCGGCAAGTGGTCCGTGAGACGTTGTGCTTTGCTGGGACACAACAAAGCACAGGAATGTATCGCAAAGAGGTATGGTGAGAGTAGGTCAACGGATCGTCAATTCGAAAGAGGGACTAGATACCATGTGCGTTGGTGGATCTACCCGAAGTATGCTGAACCATGCAAGTCAGAGAGCGCATGCATGAAAATATCGTAAGGTTTACTCAAAGGAATGAACACAACGCAAACTCGCGACAACGACCGTCATACAGGAGTAAATCGTGCATCGTCTTGGAATACCGGCGGGATCTTCACGAAGAAAGGAAATCGAGCCACGTGTGACCCGCTGTGAATAGGTGTCTTCAAACCGCCAATTTTTTCCAGTCTTATTTGGATAAATTCAGCTACAGCTAGATTGCTAAACAACCCACCTTCAGGGATCATGCACGGAGGCTCGACCCCCGGATCGCCACACACCACTTCAATATCCACGAAGGCTTTTAGGCAGCAGTACGACGAAGCGGTGGCGTCTTCCGGCAGCTCCCTTCCATCGGGGAAGATATTGACCACTGGAATTGCACCGCATCCTTCCCCTCCGCACTGGCCACATCCCAGGGGACAGCAATACACACCATCGTCGGACACCCCTTCTACGCCTTCCACGTAGCAGGTGTCTTCAGCGAAATCTGCATGGTACGGTGGGAGGAAGGCGGGTGGTTCTCGGTATATCTGAACAGGAGACAAAACGCGCCAAAGCGGAAAGCATGCCTTCTACAACAACAACAGTATTCCCATCCCGTCGACGGATTAATTAATGTCCACACAACGAAGCGCCCCTTCCCGGGTCCAACCAACACCGACAACAAAGATACGAAAATGCAGCACTGTAGAAACAGCAGAAACAGCAACAGAGAGGCCTAACGCTCTTTCCTTTTCCAACAGCAACCAAACACGCCAACGAAAAAACAGCCGACGACCACAAGAACTGTAAGGACATATTAGCATTTTCTGCATTAAAACAGAACACTCACCAGCCGGAATGAGGCAAGGAGGGTAGCCCTCGTCATCACCCGTTCCAGTCCCACACGTGACGTCTCTTGTGTCCACCCCAGACGTGCAGCAGTAATCACCCGATTTGGCGTCGATGGGGACATCACCTTCCACAGTAGGAGCCACTAGGTTCATGTCGATTAACCCGCACCCACCACCACCGCACATTCCGCACCCCTAGCAACCGTATATAGCGAGAACACGGGGCTTAGCTCGGGTTTGGTTCATGCAATTCTCTTTTGTGGCGGCGTGTAGGTGGATGGGGTGGGGTATATGCGAGCTGGAGGCAGTGTACTGCAAGCAGAGATTTCTTTCTAAGCAGCGACAGGAATGTTTGGGAACGTGTCATGATTAGTAAGTCGTCGGGAGATGTTTTCTTCGTGGGCAAGGTTGATTGTTTCATTTTTGGCACACACATACACCGTGGTTGTGTCGGGGGTCGCAACGAATTAGGCTTTTCTACGTCGAGGCTCGGCCCACCGAACAACGTATCCCAGCCACACCCACAGACCCACCTGTGGGCAACAACGGGTTCCGGTGGCGTCCATGATGCCAGGAATGCCTGGAAGGCCGCAGTTGTCAATCAAGTTCGAGGAAACTTCGGGGGCAAGGGTGGCGGTGACTGTCCCTGTGCCTGTGGAGGTGGGGGGTGATTAGCATGTTCAACGACGGGTGGGTGGGGGGCGGGTGTGGACAAACGGCACCGGGAAGGCACTGGTAGGGAGTCAAGAGAAAGAGCAGATCAGGAGGGTAATGGTGGAGCCAAGAACACAAACACAGCTTCAGTGAGCGAGGGGGGGGGGTGGTCCACAAGGCAGGGTGCGAGGGGGAAAAACGAAAGAAAGGGGGACGGATGAAGATGGCCGGCGGTGGATAATAAGACACGCAAAGAGTAAGAAGGTGGGAAGAACGATACAGGATACGACCAGCATAGCATTATCATCCCGTTGACGGATTAGTTCGCGGCCGCACAACATGCAAGAGCCCCCGGTCCCATCAACACCGATAACTACGTCAAAAGCAACAACACCAACAGCAAAACCACGAAAAACAGCGATAGCAGCAGCAATGCCAACACCCCCCTGCTCTTCCGACAGCAGGCCGAAACACGCCAACGAAAACACCGACGACGACGACGACGACAAGAAATAACGACACATGCACACCAGCATATTCTGCATTAAAACAGAACACTCACCAGCCGGAATGAAGCAAGGAGGGTAGCCCTCATCATCACCCGTCCCAGTCCCACACGTGACGTCTCTTGTGTCCACCCCAGACGTGCAGCAGTAATCACCCGATTTGGCGTCGATGGGGACATCACCTTCCACAGTAGGAGCCACTAGGTTCATGTCGACTAACCCGCACCCCACACCACCGCACATTCCGCACCCCTAGCAACCGTATATAGCGAGAACACGGGGCTTAGCTCGGGTTTGGTTCATGCAATTCTCTTTTGTGGCGGCGTGTAGGTGGATGGGGTGGGGCATATGCGAGCTGGAGGCAGTGTACTGCAAGCAGAGATTTCTTTCTAAGCAGCGACAGGAATGTTTGGGAACAACGTGTCATGATTAGTAAGTCGTCGGGAGATGTTTTCTTCGTGGGCAAGGTTGATTGTTTCATTTTTGGCACACACATACACGTCGGGGGTCGCAACGAATTGGGCTTTGCTACGTCGAGGCTCGGCCCTCCAAACAACGTATCCCAGACACACACACAAAACGAACTCGAGTGCAAGGTAACAGCCTTGGTAGACGCGTGCAGTTTTCTTCTGTTGCTACCGTTTCTGTGTTTGATCTGGAGGATAGTTTAGCCTCCCCCATGCTGACCCCTCACGGGGTCCCAGTTCATGGCAGACATAAGTGTTTTGTGTTTTCAACCGCACTAAGGCTGACGTATTTTCATTGGTCAGCCAGTTAGCGCGGTTGATGCTAATAATAAAAACACACACGAGAAGACGATGAAAACAATGCGAAACGCACGCACATCCAACGGAGTAGCAGCCATGGCAAACACGTAAAATGTTCTTCTGTTGCTACGGTATCTATCTGTTTTTAATCCGGAGAGTAGCGTGGACTGCCTCATGACGCTCGGTCACAGGGTCCCAGATCGTGGCCTGTAGAAGCGTTTTATGTTTTCCACCGTCGTACTGAGACTGGCGTTTTTTCATTGGTCAGCCGGTTAGCGCGGTCGATGCTACAGTAATAAAGAAGACACGCACACCCACCTGTGGGCAACAACGGGTTCCGGAGGTATCCATGATGCCAGGGATGTCTGGAAGGCCGCAGTTGTCAATCAAGCTGGAGGCGACTTCGGGGGCAAGGGTGGCGGTGACTGTCTCTGTGACTGTGGGGGTGGGGGGTGATCAGCATGTTCAACGACGGGTGGGTGGGGGGCGGGTGTGGACAAACGGCACCGGGAGGGCATAAGTCGAGAGAAAGAGGAGATCGGGAGAGTTGAGGGTGGGGCCAAGAGCACCAACAGGGATTAGGTGAGCGAGGGGGGGGGGGGGAATCCACAAGGCAGGGCGCGAGGGGGCAAAACTAAAGAAAGGGGATGGATGAGGATCACGGGCGGCGGAGTACACGACACACAAGTAGGACAGAGGGGAGAGACCAAGAGAAGACCCGGTCGTCATCAAAAAAGAAAAGAGTAACTAACATTGTTGTAAAATTCGGAAGTCATTCCATTGAAAGCGTACTTACTATAGATTGTGAACACCATGTCTCACTACTTACTGCATGGCTAACAGCAGCAGCAGCAACAGCAGCAGCAGCAACAACTGCAGCAGCAAACGTGTCATCGTCTTGCTTCTCTCCCTCACCTTGATCCTCAGCAGCAATTAGGCACGGGGGAGATACTCCGTCTCCGCAGGTAGGAGAGTTGACGGTGAACGAGCTCGTGCAGCAGTAGGACCTGCAGCGCGGTGACAGCAGTAGATTCGTTCCAGTCTTGAGGCATCACATCATCATCCAGTTCTTGCCGTCACAAACTAACGTATGAATACCTTCCTCCAAAAACATATATATTTAAACTCTCATGCAACCCCATCGTGGATCTCATAGAACGGAAAGAAAGCACCATTTCTTGAACGCGTTTACAAGATCATCTCATAATCTGATTTCACCATTTTCAGCGATACCGTCCAAGAGGGAAGGCAGACCACACAAATATACGGGACCATGCAGCACATGCACCGAGAAAAAACTCTCCGACGTGCGGCAACCATTAGACTAGACTTAGCTCTTTATGGAACAACTGGGGGCACGCTCGAGGACGACTTGCGGCTGACGGACGGTGACAGGAACAATGACAGCAGCCATGGATCGTAGTGACGACAAGGCCACACGATTACAAGTACAGTAGAACAGTACCGACAGAGGAAATACATTAATTAAGTTGAATCATGATATTCTACCAGAACTAATAGCAGTAACTAGATTAAGTGCGATTTAGTACTTGGGGCGAACTTACGTGGACGTAGCGTTGGAGGCAGGTTCGTGGTCGAGGTACGGGGTGATGTAGCCCATGTCGATCGAGCCACATCTTCAGCGACACGGCGTGGGCAGGTGGGGAGGTCGATTTAATCTCTGGTGTAATGGTCATACCCTCCCGCCGTGATTGGGGCGAAGCGGACCTACCTCCGTTTATCTGACCGTACACCACCAACCCCCTCAAAATGCCGCCGAAGGAATGGCGGCATTGGTATGGTTGTTGTTGTCACCACCGCATTCACGTTGAGAAACTTTCCGATCTTTGCTCCGTTTCATGCCAACTCCTTGAATTGCCTTATTTATGCACACGCACTCCAACTGTTCTGGAGAGAGGCGCAGCGTTCTCTCCGACAGGTTCCTGCATCAATTCAAGCCATTTCCTACAGGTCGCGCAACAAGACCTATGTCCTGCAGAATGCTGCCTTCTGAGGTACTGTAGCTCAAGAACCTCCCCGTGTGTGTGTCGTAGTCCATCGGAATCTATAAATGATGCGCAAACGCTGGCTCGCAAACGAGGCACCCCCCTGCGTCTTCCTACAATCTGACAACTCATGAATCACAGGCTAGACCGCCACAAAAAAACAAGACAACGAGAACAAAAAACAAACCTCGTGTACCCTTCTCTTACCCGGTATCTCCGCATTGCCCACAGCCCTGCGAATAAACGGAAAGAGTCGGGCAGCGAATGGAAGAAGGAAGAAGGACTTTGGCGTGACACAGAAATACAGGCAGGCAGACGGGTCACACAATCAATCTCACAATTTGCTCGTTCTCGATAAATTTTAGTCACTTTCAGGTGTATGTATGCATACGAACCCGGAATAGTTTACCACCAATTAAAAGTGGCGCGCACGAGTCACGCGAGATGCGACGTTCAAAGCACATAGGCACACATGCCTTGAGAATTTTCAAGCAGAGCGTAATTGCTAGCTGCTTGTACCACAAGGAAAAAAATGGAAACTGTTAAAAAGTTAAACACTAGCTCACCAGCATGGCCACCAGCTAAACTACAACAAAAGAAAGGTACGCATGACGTTTTCGTCGAAACCTGCCACCACGATGCCATTTTCGTACAGCAAATGAAAGCGATAAAACCCATTGCAACGCTGTGTCAAGTAAATTTGGTATTCTCAAGGTTAAATGAGGCAATAATACAATATTCCGGCGGCTTCGATGGATTCTGAGGCACATCTTCAGCGAAGAGTCAGACGTCTTCGATGAAGAACGAAGAAACCCCAATGGATATCAAAGCAGGCAGACAGATATGGCATGCACTTGCCAAGGGGCAGCATTTGTCGCCGGTACGAACGCCTTGGATGCCAACAACGCCGCAGGTGTCGTCGGGAAGGTCCCGTGGGGGCAGGGTTTCCACCACTGTCGCAGGAGGGCGGGCGGGGGTGGCGGCGAAGAACATGCACAACGATCCGCA